CGCGACGCTCGGCAGATCGGGGACATGGGACAGCGCGGCGGCCAGGCGGGTGGCGAGGCGGCGTGCGGCGCGGCGCAGCCCTGCGGGGACATTGGGGACATGGGGACATTGGGAACATTGGGGACACTGGGGACAATGGGGACATGGGGGACATTGGGGATATTGGGGACACGGGGGACACTGGGGATATTTGGGACATGTGGGATATTGGAGACATTGGGGACATGCAGGACATTGGGGACATTGGGGACATTGGGGACATGGGACAGCGCAGCGGTCAGGCAGGTGGCGAGGAGGCGCGTGGCCCGACGCAGCCCTGCGGGGACACTGGGGACATGGGGGATATTGGGGATATTGGGGACACTGGGGACATGGGACAGCGTGGCGGCTAGGCGGGTGGCAAGGCAGCGCGCGGCCTGACGCAGCCCTGCGGGCACACTGGGGACATTGGGAATATTGGGGACGTGGGATATTGGAGACACTGGGGACATGCAGGACATTGGGGACATTGGGGACATGGGACAGCACGGTGGCCAGGCAGGTGGCGAGGCGGTGTGCAGCCCAGCACAGCCCTGCGGGGACACTGGGGACATGGGGGACATTGGGGACATGCGGGACACTGGGGACATGGAGGAGCCATGTGGCCTGGTGCAGCCCTGCGGGGACTGGGGACATTGGGGACTTTGGGGATATGGGGGATATTAGGGACATAGGGGACACTGGGGACATTGGGGATATTGGGGACATTGGGGACATGGGACAGCGCGGCGGCCAGGCAGGTGGCGAGGCGGTGTGCAGCCCAGCACAGCCCTGCGGGGACACTGGGGACATGCCCCCCCCGGGGGGGGACAGGGGACACTGGGGACATTGGGGACAGCAGCCACGACGCCCGTCCCAGCCCTGCGCATGGGGACACAGATCAACCAGGGGACACGGATTGGAGGAGACAGGGATCGACCGGGACCCGGGATCCGCAGGGAGAGGATTCAACTGGGACAGGGATCAACGGGGGACCAGGGACAACGAGGACAACAGGGCACCGGGACAACGAGGACAAGGACAACACGGGACCGGGAGCAGCAGGGAACCGGGAGCAGCACAATTGGGATCAACAGGGAATCGGGATCAGCAGGGGACCAGGGACAACGAGGACAAGGACAATGGGGGACCAGGAGCAGCAGGGAACCGGGATCAGCAGGGAATCGGGATCAGCAGGGAATCGGGAGCAGCGGGAATTGGGATCAACAGGGAATCGGGATCAGCAGGGGACTGGGAGCAGCGGAAATTGGGAGCAACAGGGGACCAGGAGCAGCGGGAATTGGGATCAACAGGGAATTGGGATCAGCAGGAGACCGGGAGCAGTGGGAATTGGGATCAACAGGGAATCGGGATCAACAGGGGACCAGGAGCAGCGGGAACTGGGATCAACAGGGAAGCGGGAGCAGC